AAATATTAGTTTATCTCGTGCTATTCTGTCAAGCAATATTATACTGATTAGCTTTTTAAAATATTATTGATGTAGATGGAGTATACATAACCTGTGTTTATACTCCACTTCATGTGCTTACATCTTGAATCTTGATAAACTTCTAGTTTCTGACCATACCCTTGTGAAGGATCAGAATGTCATAACCCCTTTAGTAAATATTTTAAAAGGCTAATTTGGGTGAGTAATTGCATTCCAGTTCAAAAGAATATTAAAATAACTACTTTATGTGAATGCATCCATCCTAATGGAAATACACATTCCAAAAGAGTTGGAAGAATTAGCTTAATATCACTGCTGTATAAAATTCAATGACTTGAGCTTTCAGACAGGCAGACTGAAAACACTTTGGCTCGCTTGGATCCGCATCCACTGTATCTGCTTCCAATCGCAAATTCCAATAAACGAACAACAAAGAAATCAAAAGGAAACCGAGCGGCTCGCCAGCTTGAACCTTGCTTGCAGAGAAACCAGACAAAACCACGCAGTGTGAGGAAACAAACATAAAAACACAGCGTAATATGTTTTCTATTGTTTCTGCCAAAAAACATCAATTGGTCCAGATCCACACAAAATCTGCCTTCTTCTGCCTAGACTTACCCCACGCTCCCTGAAGGACTGGTGAGATTTGGTGACCTTTAAAGGGAGCAAGCCCATGTTTTGGTTTAACCTTCATTTTTATTTCACTGTGAGAGTGCCACACGCAAGCATCCCCCAAGATCAGAAAGGAAAATTCACAGACAATTAAAACAAGCCCTTATGCTCGTGTTCTGCTCAATTTTTCTCTATATAATGCCTGACAGCCCTGTGCATCGTTGGAAAATTAGCAGATCCTATGCAGACTAGCAGCTTAAGCAGTATTAATAACACCAGGGCAGCACAAGCACGCACGGAGCAATTAAACCTTGAAGGGCTTACATTTTAAGACTGCTTTTAAGATATCACCATCCACAGTGTGGAATTAGACCTGATGGTGATGGAAATGTTGGGGCTAGGCACTTGCTGCTCTTAACTGTATGAGTGGTATTGAGCACTCTCCTTCCTGAACTCCCAACCTGATCTCCCAGAAAAGCATCTCCCGGCGAGAGGCGAGCTGAGGCCTAACCTGAGCACGTTATTTATGTGTATGCACAAAAAATGTGTATTTCTTTAGCTGGTGAGTCTAACACTTGCAGATCAAGTAGGATGACGAAAGAAAGGAGAAATTCTTAGTAGGGAAAACTGTCTGCTCAAAGTTAAACGTTGCTGCAGATGGGAACAGAAGGACTTATTGCTGCAGGACAGGGATCTTGCAGTGCACATCTGGAGCATGCTGTCTACCCCAGACTGGCAGGGGAGACCGAACGCATCAGATGCCATTAGTCAGAAAACGTGTCAGCAGAAAAATTATGGTAAGCGCTCAAAATGGTCAGCTGTATGGAAAGGCACCATTTGTAGATTTGTTAGTCAATTAGGCTTTATTTGAAGTGATTCCCCCAAGGTTTCTTGGGGTAAGAGCATTTGTTTTCCTTCAATTCACCTCAACTTGCTGCAATTCAGCTCCTGTAGACCTCTATACAGTGTTTTTATTTTTAGAATGTCATTTATTTTCACTGACACTAGAGCCACCACCCAGGCTTTGAGCTCTCATGATTTCTTACCAGCCAACTGCATGGTATCCCAGTATAGGTACAAGGGCAGATAAATAGTGCTGTGCCAAACTATCAACCTTTGTGCTGTGAGTGCTCACAACCTCTCCTTAGGATTTCAGATTAAGTCAAAACCATAATGCAATCACTTTTGCTATCAAATAGCAAAAGAAAGAAAGACTTCACAAGAGAAACACGAGTTCCACCTTTGGGAGGTATGCAACCTTTTTAATTTCCTGCTTGCAAGTTGACTTTTGGGGTTGCCAACACTTGAAGAAACCTTGCTCAGAAGTCAATTCCAGTTCATAAACAAAAGGTATTTGTGCAAAAAAAAGAGACCATTTCTATTCTATAGTTTTTAGCTGCCACAAAAATATAACCTCCTCCAGTCAGGGAATATGTCGAATGCAACAACATCATACTGTGTCTAATAACATAGGTGGCTAATTTGGCTGCTTGGCCTCACCTGATTAAATAGTTAGCAAAATAGGAAATAAACTCATAGAAATTTAAGTCAATTTGTTAAGTGAAATAAAAGCCTTAGGAAGCTGAATAGCTTACTTGTACTGAATAATCCCAGTAACTTATGCTCTGCAGTTTCAGAAGGAATACTGCATATATTTGAAAGTTACATATTTACTAGAAAGATCTTCAGAAATCTTTTTAAAAAGTAAAATGTGCACTGAACTTTTCTGACATTTACAAAAGTAATTAATTAATATGATTAAGCAAATTAGACTGAGCCAAAGTCTGACTGATTGTAAAGCATGCTGCAAGAGCCACCTGTTTGCTAGAAGGATTAGATACTATAGTGCTGGCAGCTAGCTAAAAAACAGAGAATTATGAAAGATAAGATAGAGAAACATCTATAGACACTGACTTTTCAAATCTGTTTTGGATAATGTGTACCACCAGATGATCTGAGCTTCACCCCAACAAAACAATGTCCATAACACATTTTTGCTTGGAAGAAAACCATGCACATTAATTAAAGTCACTAATAGTCCATAAGGTTTTTATGAATCCAATTCCTACATAGGTACCTAAGTGCCTATATGGATCTAGTTAAGCAGTTGTCAAGGTCCAAGAAACACTGATCCACATCTCTACACCCAGCCTCCTTGACCGTGAGAACGTCGGTGTCTCATCCTAGGAGGTACATAGAACATTTTTGCTTGAAATAACACTTCCCATTGAAGAACAGGATTGTGACAGTTCATGGTATCAGAGCTAGTGAGCAGGCTGAGCAGCCGAGGACGAGCTATAACTGCTCAGGGTCCTGCAACTCGTCAACGGGAGCGACGCCGCGGCGCTCACTCTGTGCCGTGCCTCGTGTACCCGATGGCCACGGCTAAAGCAACACGCTGGAACCTGAAATAACAACTAGTTCTGTAAAGTGAAAGTGAAAATACTGGGTATAAGAATTAACAAAGAGCGACTACGGGCTATAAGTACGAGCATATATCTGGACTTCTCCAGAAACAGCTCCAGCCCTGTTCAACAGGGCTCAGCCCTGCTGCTTGCGACATGCTGCTGCTGCACAGATTGACTAAACACAATATTAGAGATGCAAAAAGTTATCTGATAGTTCTGACTGAAAAACAAGCAAAGAGAACCCATATTGTACATGTTATCTGCAAGCCAGTGGATCTAATGGTTCACTTACTTTACAACCTGCTTTGGAATAATTTGGCACATCTCTAAATTTAACAAGCTTCAGTGGGATTAGATAAAATGCAGACTTTGTTTATATCAATTAACACTCAAAGTAGTACAAAACAACTTGTTAACTGCATTTACGAACAAAAAGTAACAAAGTAAGAGTTTGTCCAAAGGAAGTGACTGGGTGTCTCTTTGTATTGGTACAGTTGCTCTGTACCACTAAAAATTAAACAGAACCAACCCCACAACTATTAAACAGCATTGTCAGAGGCTGAGGTGTCTCTGAAATTTTTAGTTAATTGTTAGATATAATCCGCATTTAAGAGAATTGTATTGCCAGTTTTGCATACACCAAATTCCCAAAAAGGACTGTGTCAGGTGCACGGTCAACGAGTTAAACACAAAACCAAAAACACTGCAGCTGAGCTGACAAATACATTAGCCAATGCTATATTATTATTCCCATTTCCAAATATTTTACCTTGACTGCTTATAAGCACATTATTCTCTACATTAGAGAGCTGGAAGGAAAACGTGGATGACTTCAAGCCCAGTCTAGTGCACTAGCCATCCTTAAAGATAATAAATGGACACATTACAACCTCGTCATAAAAGGTTTGCGGATATTAAGCGAATGAAGACAGACACAGAGTGTGATGGAAAACTTGGGTAGAACTACAAGTTTAAAAAAAAAAGCAAAAATAAAAAGTAGCACAATCATATGATACACCTCCCAAAGATCCAGTCCTCGTGGTGATAAATACTTTGCCCTCCGTATCACATATTTTCCACAGATCTGCACGTGCTCAAATCTCTAAGTTACAAGAAAAATCTGTAGAAGTACTTTCTATTTATTTATTTATTATTCCCCGGGATCAGCCACATTTAAGGAAATATTTTGCTCCCTTCTTAGGTGGTAAGCAATACATTATGATCTTTCTTTTTATTATTTCCCATTACTAGTTCAGGGACCTATGAAACAATGTCGTGGCCGTAACTGCTATGTTTTTAGTTGCATTGCGTGAACAGCCACGCAGTCTGGACACTATATAAATATGTTTTTACTATTCTA